CTGTTTGTAATCCTTGGTTCGCCCGCCCGGTTTTCTGTTTTCAGTAAAGTCTCGTTACGCCAGCTCGGCTCTCCGCCTCCTTCTTCCCCCGCCGGGGCCTGGCGGGCTGGGTGGAGCCTGGCCCGCTTCCCCCCCACCCCCGCCTCTCTCTCCTCCTTCCGTCCCCAGCTCCTCCCTTCGTTGGGAGGAAGCGAGGAGCCGGCGTCCGGGAGGGGCCCGCGCTTCTGGCGTGCAGCGAGCGCCCTCTAGAATCGCCTGGGCGCAGGGCCGGCTGATGTCCAGGTTGGGGTCTTTGACCGGCGTTTGGAACTAGCTAATGCCCCCTTGCCTTTTGGGAAGGAGAGATTTGGAGGTGGAAACGGCATAGCCCCAGCCCAAGGGAGGAAGGAAGAGGCAGAAACTTACAGAACTTTTTAATTAACCTTTTGGGCCTTGGTCTGCCTGTCAAATGGGGAGAACAGCCGAAAAACTTGCCCCATAAAGTTGTGACGATGAAGAGGGTTTCTGTTTACAGAGCAGTGCTTGGCTTACAGTGTAAGCTTTTATTCTCATTTGGTGACTTGGGGGATGCTGAGACCCAGGACCAGGAGGAAGGTGGCACAGAAAGTATCTCGCTGAAGTTCGCTCCTCCTCCCAACATCCTATCTCCACTTGGGGAAACCTAAGGTTCAGAGAGGTTGAGCAACTGGCTTGACGTCACACAGCCTTTTAAGGAGATTGTGCAGAGACAGCCCGACCTTGGCCTCTTCACTTCAGAGCCTTGACCTAGGTTTCCTGCTTCTCCCGCCTGCTCTGGCCTTTGCTGTTAAGACCTTGAGCCTTGGGCTTCCGACTCTGGGAGCTCCGAGGGATGTGGACATGAGGGGCCAAGGTCACACAGCAAATAGGGCTGGTTGTGTGTACCTGTCCAGCCTTGTTAGGGAAGGCCGCTGAATTGTACCCATTTTTTTTTTTTTTTTTTTTTTTTGAGACGGAGTTTGCTCTTACTACCCAGGCTGAAGTGCACTGGCACGATCTCGGCTCACCGCAGCCTCTGCCTCCTGGGTTCAAGCAGTTCTCCTGCCTCAGCCTCCCAAGTAGCTGGGACTACAGGCACGCGCCACCATGCCCAGCTAATTTTTGTATTTTTAGTAGAGACGGGGTTTCACCTTGTTGACCAGGATGGTCTTGATCTCTTGACCTTGTGATCCACCTGCCTCGGCCTCCCAAAGTGCTGGGATTATAGGCGTGAGCCACCGCGCCTGGCTTTTTTTTTTTTTAATAAATATGGGGTTTCACCATGATGGCTGGGCTGGTCTTGAACTTCTGACCTCAGGTGATCTACCCACCTCGGCCTCCCAAAGTGCTAGGATTACAGGCGTGAGCCACCATGCCTGGCCGAATTGTACCCGTTTTACAGATGAAGAAACTTGCAGAGAAGGGCCGCTGTCCTTGGCCAGGGAGAGAGTCAGGCCTTCCCACCAAGAGCTATATTGGGCTTTATTTGTTTGCCTGAGACAGAGTCTTGCTCTGTTGCCCAGGCTGGAGGGCAGTGGCGCCATCTTGGCTCCCCGCAACCTCTGCCTCCTGGGTTGAAGCGATTTTCCTGCCTCAGCCTCCCAAGTAGCTGGGATTACAGGTGCCCGCCACCACGCCCAACTAATTTTTTTGTATTTTTAGTAGAGATGGGATTTCACCATGTTGACCAGGCTGGTCTCAAACTCCTAACCTCAAGTGATCCGCCTGCCTCGGCCTCCCAAAGTGCTGGGATTCCAGGCCTGAGCCCCCGTGCCCAGCCAGGGTTTGGTTTTTAGCTGTCACCTTGCCTTATGGGAGGCCATGCAGACACTTCAGCAGGGCCTGAAGGAACCTGCTGAGGGGAATGAGGCTGAGGTGGGAGAGCACCTGGCTTGATGTCACCCAGCCTTTTAAGGAGACTGTGCAGAGATAGCCCCACCTTGGCCTCCTCACTTCCAAAGTCCTTGATCCACAGGACACCGAGAATGACACCCCGGGGGCAGAGTGTCACTGGTAGGGAGACTGGGTCCCAGTGAGGTGCCAGTTGGCATCTGTGTGACCTCTGGCGAGTCCCCTTCCCCCAGCGGCCTCCATATCCTGTGCTGTGAGATGGGTGTTTGTATCCACAGTAACCTTGCTCAGGTCAGAAGTCAGAACTGGGAGGTGCCGGGGACTGAACAGTGATTGCACTCAATGGTGGTGTGTCTGTGTAGAGAAGGGGAGGCCAGGGAGGTTGTGGGAAACTGCCCAATGTATATGGCAGAGCAGAGATTGAGCCCACGTCTCTTGCCTGCCCGCCTGCCTCCCAGTGGTCTAAGGCAGGAGGCCTCTGAGGAACCTGGCAGAGAGGGGGAGGACACTTTTTTTTTTTTGGAGACGAGTCTTACTCTGTCTCCCAGGCTGGAGTGCAGTGGTGCGATCTTGGCTCACTGCAACCTCTGCCTCCTGGGTTCAAGCAATTCTGCCTCAGCCTCCCCAGTAGCTGGGATTACAGGTACCCACCACCACATCCAGCTAATTTTTATTTTATTTTTTGTATTTTTAGTAGAGATGGAGTTTCTCCATGTTGGGCAGGCTGGTCTGGAACTCCCGACCTCAGGTGATCCACCTGCCTCGGCCTCCTGAAGTGCTGGGATTACAGGTGTGAGCCACCACGCCCAGCACTACAGCTCACTGCAGCCCTGACCTCCTAGGCTCAAGTGATCCTCCTGCCTCAGCCTCCTAAGTAGCTGGGACCACAAGTGTGTGCCACCATGCCCTGCTAATTATTAAAGAATTTTTTGTAGAGAGGGATCTATATTGCCCAGGCTGATTTTGAATTCTTGTGCTCAGGTGATCCTCCAATCCTACTCTCCCAAAATGCTGGGACTACAGGTGTGAGCCACTGCACCTGGCCTCTGTCTTATCTCTCGCCTCCGCCAACCTTTTTGAGACAAGGTCTCTTTTACTCAGGCTGGAGTGCAGCTCACTGCAGCCTCCGCCTACTGGGTTCAAGTGACTCTCCTGCCTCAGCCACCAAAGTAGCTGGGATGGCAGCGTTGGCCGCCGTACTCGCTAATTTTTGTTATTACTAGTGGAGATGGGGTTTTGCCATGTTGCTCAGGCTGGTCTCAAACTCCTGAGCTCAAGCAGTCCGCCCCACCTTGGCCTCCCAAAGTGCTGGGATTACAGGACTGAGCTGCCACACCTGGCCTCACCAGCATTTACTGAGGCCTAGTTGGTGTCCACTCCCTGGAGGCCAGTCCTCCAGTCTGATGGGGGAGTGAGGCAGGAGTGAGCTGTGATATGAAAGGCTTTTTTGAAACCACAGATCTCACCCACTACTTGAAAACTTTCTGGAGGGAAGTCCTGGCTGTACCAGGTCCTGGGCTGGCCGGTGTCTCCCTCCGGGAACCTCTCCACCCAGATTCTCCATTCCTGCCCTCCTGGCCTCAGGGCCTTTGCACAGCTGCGCGGTGGCTCTGTGCCAGCTACTCTCCCCCAGTCACCCAGCTGAGCGCCACCTCCCAGCCTCACCTGCACACTCTCTCCTCGGAAGCCTGTCCCGAGTAACCCGCAGGCTGGGCCAACACTTTACTGGGCTCCCACAGCCTCTAGTTGCCCCGAGTGCTCACAGCTGCGTTTAGCTCTGGGGACTTGTTCTGATGAAACATCCAAAGAAAGGGCTGGGCGAGGTGACCATGCCTGTAATCCCAGCACTTTGGGAGGCTGAGGCAGGCATATCACTTGAGGTCAGGAGTTCGAGACTAGCCTGGCCAACATGGTGAAATCCTGTCTACTAAAACTCACACCCGTAATCCCAGCACTTTGGGAGGCCGAGGCAGACGGGGTTACCTGAGGACGGGAGTTCGACACCAGCCTGACCAACATGGAGAAACCCCGTCTCTACTAAGAATACAAAATTAGCCAGGCATGGTGGCACATGCCTGTAATCCCTGCTACTCAGGAGGCTGAGGCAGGAGAATCCCTTGAACCCGGCAGGCGGAGGTTGCAGTGAGCCGAGATTGCACCTTTGCACTCCAGCCTGGGCAACAGAGCAAGACTGTCTCAAAAGAAAAAAAACCTACAAAGATTAGCCAGGCATAGTGGCGGGCACCTGTAGTCCTGGCTACTCAGGAGGCTGAGGCACAGAAATCGCATGAACCCGGCAGGCGGAGGTTGCAGTGAGCCGAGATTGCACCACTGCAGTCCAGCCTCAGCAGCAGAGCGAGACTTCATCTCAAAATCCAAACCAAACAAAAAAACAGACAAACGATGTAAACCCCATCCAGCTGCCATCTGCCATGTCCCTGATTTTGCCCAAAGCCACACCCACAGTATAGAGAAGGTTTTGGAGGGGGTGGTCTTTGCAGAGGGAGGCCAGGCACTCCTGCTGGCCCCTGCCCTGGCGACCCCCAGCGGCTCTCTAAGGGAGCCAGGCCAAGGCTTCTGGACCAGGCTGGCTTTGGCTGGAGCCAGCTGCACAGAGTCCAAGGTATGTGTCAGCCTTAGCCCAGCCAGCAGTGACTCATGCTGGGCCCCAGCCCGGCCCTGGGAGGTGACCCAGGACAGCGGCCTGACTTCCCCCTTCGGCTCAGGGTCAGTGTCCACTTTTGCTGGGCCCAGTGGGGATCCCAAGAGACATCAAGTCTGTCTGGCCCCACCCCAAGGACTCCCCAGTCTCCGAGCCAGACCCAGGACATTGGTCAGAAACATGACTGGCCCATGGCACCCCCTTTCTGGTTCCTTCCCATGTAGCCATTTTACACCCTCAAATTCTTTTGAGTTTTTTGTATCCCCAGGCCTGGGGCAAATTCCAGCATACAGTAGGTGCTCAGAAAATGACCACAGCTGGCTGGGAGCAGTAGCTCACGCCTGTAGTCCCAGCACTTTGGGAGGCCAAGGTGGGCAGAGCACCTGAGGTTGGGAGTTTGAGACCAGCCTGACCGACATGGAGAAACACCATCTCTACTAAAAATACAAAATTGGTCAGGCGTGGTGGCGCGTGCCTGTAGTCTCAGCTACTCGGGAGGCTGAGGCAGGAGAATCCCTTGAACCCAGGAGGCGGAGGTTGCAGTGAGCTGAGATTGCGCCATTGCACTCCAGCCTGGGCAACAAGAGTGAAACACCGTCTCAAAAAGAAAAGAAAATGCCCACAGGATGAAAGACTGAAGCTGCCTCTGGGTACACGGGGCAGGAGATTTGGGGTTCCCTCTGCGCTGAGAACCCCTTCTACTCAGGATGAGCCGGTGTAGGTAGCCACCACCATGACCTTGGGCCCTGCCCCTGGTCCTGTCTCCCAGAGCCTGGCTGTGCCTTCTAGCATCCCCTCCCCCACAGAAGCTGGCAGGGATTGGCCGGAACTTGGCTTTGAGTCACAAAGCTGCCACGCCACCAGGACCCCAAGACTGGCTGTTCATTCAGACCGCTGGGTTCAGCTTCAGGGGCAGGTGAGTGGGGCTGATGGCTTCGGGGGCAGGTAAATGGGGCTGGTGGAGGGCTGGTTTGTGGGGACTCATGGGGGACCCTGTTGTTCTGTGACCCCCAGTGCCTTTAGAGTCCTTCTGGGCCTTCTGTGTGACTCGAAATGATGGGGCTCTAGGGACCCCCAAAGCCTTGATGGTAGATTCGTTCACCTGTGATGGGGGGCATCCTGGAGAGCCTGTTATGTCTCTTATTATTTTTAAAGACGGGGTTTCACAATGTTGGTCAGGCTGGTCTTGAACTCCCAACCTCAGGTAATCTGCCCGCCTTGGCCTCCAAAGTGCTTGGATTACAGGCATGAGCCACCACGCCCAGCCTCTTTATTATTTGTTTAAATAAATAGAGACAGTGTCCTGCTATGTTGCCCAGGCTGGTTTCAAACTCCTGGGCTCCAGCCATCCTCCCACCTTGGCCTCCCAAAGTGCTAGGATTACAGGCATGAGCCACTGCACCCGGCCAAGCCTGTTGTGTCTTCGGGAACTTGAGGACGGTGATCTTACCTCGTGACAGATAAGGAAACTGAGCCTGAGAGGGTTTTACTCAGAATTACTGAGCTTGGCTTCTGTGTCCAGGGGGGCCCTGTCCCTTCTTCTCATCCCCCACAATCCCATTTCTTACCCCTTCTGGTTGAGTTCCTTTAAAGAGTTGTACCGTTTGGGATGAAACCTTAGCCCCTGGAATGGGCCCATTCTGCTCCTGAAGCTCTGACGACTCCAATTTCAATTTTTTTTTTTTTTTTTTTGACATGGCATCTCGCTCTGTCACCCAGGCTGGGGTGCATTGGTGCAGTCTCGGCTCATTGTACCTCTGCCTCCCAGGTTCAAGCGATTCTCCTGCCTCAGCCAGGAGTTCGAGACCAGCCTGACCAATGTGGTAAAACCCCATCTCTACTAAAAATACAAAAATTAGGCCGGGCAGGGTGGCTCAAGCCTGTAATCCCAGCACTTTGGGAGGCCGAAGCGGGTGGACCACGAGGTCAAGAGATCGAGACCATCTTGGTCAACAAGGTGAAACCCCATCTCTACTAAAAATACAAAAAATTAGCCGGGCATGGTGGCGCATGCCTGTAGTCCCAGCTACTCAGGAGGCTGAGACAGGAGAATTGCCTGAACCCAGGAGGCGGAGGTTGCAGTGAGCCGAGATCACGCCATTGCACTCCAGCCTGGGTAACAAGAGCGAAACTCCGTCTCAAAAAAAACAAAAAACAAAAATTAGGCTGGGCACTGTGGTTGACACCTGTAATCCCAGCACTTTGGGAGGCCGAGGTGGGCGAATCACTTGAGGTCAGTAGTTCGAGACCAGCCTGGCCAACATGATGAAACCCCGTCTCTACTAAAAATACAAAATTAGCCGGGCGTGGTGTTGCACCCCTGTAATCCCAGCTACTCTGGAGGCTGAGGCTTGAACCTGTGAGGCAGAAGTTGCAGCGAGCTGAGATTGCACCATTGCACTCCCGCCTGGGCAGTAAGATTGAAACTCCGTCTCAAAAAAACAAAAAAACCCAAAAGTTAGCCAGGTGTGGTGGTGGGCACCTGCCATTCCAGCTACTCAGGAGGCTGAGACAGGAGAATCTCTTGAACCCTGAAGGGGGAGGTTGCAGTGAGCCGAGATCGCACCACTGCACTCCAGCCTGGGCGACGGAGCGAGACTCGGTCTCAAAAAATAAAAATAATAATAAATAAATATATGTGTGTCAGTTATCCGTGCATTGCCTCTTGTCTCCAAATGGACCCTTTCAGTATGTGATTAACAAAGAAATTCGTTTCCTTGTGTCTCCTTTAAAGTGAGCACAATGCTAAACTTTCTCAGTAGAGGGCGCCAGTGAGGCGTTAGGGATAGAGGTGTGGAGACACCAGGTGTAGCCTGCCCCAGCTCTGGGTCCAGAACGTGGTCCTTCAGCAACTTTGTAGCCTTGACCTGATGAAAACTTTTCTGCAGCCCTCTCAACACACACACACACACACACACACACACACACACACACACACACACAGACACACACAGACAGACACACACACACAGACACACACACACACACAGACACACACACACAGACACACACACACACAGACACACACACAGACACACACACAGACACACACACACAGACACACACACGCAGACACACACACAGACACATACACAGACACACACACAGACACACACAGACACACACACACACAGACACACACACACAGACACACACACAGACACACACACACACACAGACACACACACAGACACACACACACACAGACACACACACAGAAAACAGACCCCAAGGCCTTGACCTGATGAAAACTTTTCTGCAGCCCTCTCAACACACACACACACACACACACACACACACACACACACACAGAAAACAGACCCCAAGGCCAGGCGCAGAAGCATGCGTGTACAGAGAGAGAGAGGAGAGAGGAGAGAGAGAGAGAGAGAGAGAGAGAGAGAGAGAGAGAGAGAGAGAGAGAGAGAGAGAACAGAGACCCCAAATGCCTGTAATCCCAGCACTTTGGGAGGCCGAGGTGGATGGATCACCTGAGGTCAGGAATTTGAGAGCAGCCTGACCAATAAGGTGAAATTCCATCTGTACTAAAAATACAAAAAATGGCGGGCACGGTGTGTAATCCCAGCACTTTGGGAGGTTGAGGCAGGCGGATCATGTAAGGTCAGGAGTTCGAGACTAGCCTGACCAACATGGAGAAACCCCCATCTCTGCTAAAAATACAAAATTAGCCGGGCACGGTGGCACATGCCTGTAATACCAGCTACTCGGGAGGCTGAGGTAGGAGAATGGCTTGAACCGGGTGGCGGAGGTTGCAGTGAGCCGAGATCGCACCACTGCACTCCAGCCTGGGCGACAGAGCAAAACTCCTTCTCAGTAAAAACAACAAAAATTAGCCAGGTGCGGTGGCGGGCGCCTGTAATTTCAGCTACTTGGGAGGCTGAGGCACGAGAATCTCTTGAACCTGAGAGGAGGAGGTTGCAGTGAACCGAGATGCGCCACTGCACTTCAGCCTGGGCGGCAAGAATGAAACTCTGTCTCAGACAACCAAAGCCCCCACGGTGGCCCATGCGCACTGAGGGCCTGCTGCACCCCGCAGCACCGAGGTTTCCGGCGCACATCCACAGCACCAAAGTGAGCGCAATGCTAAACCTTCTCAGTAGAGGGCGCTGGTGATAACCTGTTGATCACCTGTTCCCACACCTGCCCCCTGGAGGGCGGGCCTTTTGCTAATTCTGCCACTCCAGATCAGCTCTGACGTGGCCAATCCAGCAAACATCTCTGCTGCTTGTTAGGTGGGTCCATACCTTCTCCAAAGAAGTCTGAATCCTCTCCAAATTTGCCCCTTTCTGGGGGAATCTCCATCAGCCCCAAAGTACCATAGAGAATTTCCTTTTATACGTACCTTTAATCACAATCATCCTTTTTTTTTTTGGAGACAGGGTCTCAGTCAGACGCGGTGACTCACACTTGTCATCCCAGCTACTTAGGAGGCTGAGGCCCAAGAATCGCTTGAACCCGGGAAGCGGAGGTTGCAGCGAGCCAAAATTGTGACACTGCACTCCAGCCTGGGCAATAGAGTGAGACTCTGTTTCAAAAACAAAGAGACAGGGTCTCACTCTGTCACCAGGCTGGAGTGCAGTGGTGCCATCATAGCTAATTATAGTCTCAACCTCCTAGTGGCCTCAAATCATCCTCCTGCCTCAGCCTCCTGAGTAGCTGGGACTACAGGCACGTGCCACCATGCCTGACTACTTTTAATATTTTTAGTAGAGACGGGATTTTACCATGTTGCCCAGGCTGGTCTGGAACTCCTGGCCTCAAGTGATCCACCCGCCTTGGCCTCACAAATTAATGGGATTACAGTCGTGAGCCACTGTGCCCAACCTATTTTTTTTTTTTTTAAAGACGGGGTTTCACCATATTGGTCAGGCTAGTCTCCAACTCCTGACCTCAGGTGATCTGCCAGCCTCAGCCTCCCAAAGTGCTGGGATTACAGGTGTGAGCTACCGCGCCTGGCTTTTTTTTTTTTTTTTTTTTTTGAGACAGAGTTTTGGTCTTATTACGGAGGCTGGAGTGCAGTGGTGTGATCTCAGCTCACTGCAACCTCCGCCTCCTGCGTTCAAGGCATTCTCTTGCCTCAGCCTCCCAAGTAGCTGGAATTACAGGCATTCACCACCATGCCTGACTAATTTTTTGTGTTTTTAGTAGAGATAGGGTTGGCCAGGCTGGTCTCGAACTCCTGACCTCAGGTGATCCACCCGCCTCAGCCTCCCAGAGTGTTGCGATTACAGGCATCAGCCACCATGCCCGGCCAATTATTATTATTATTTTAAGAGACAGTTCTTGCTTAGTTTCCCAGGCTGGTCTCAAACTCCTGGCCTGAAGAGGCACCTGTCTCTGCCTCCCAAAGTGCTGGGATTGCAGGCAAGAACCACTGTGCTGAGCCTGCACACCATTTCCAATGCCTGGGTGTCCTGTCCTTGTTTGGTTAAGCCATCTCTCCGTTGATAGCTTGGAGAGCTGTTTATAGCTCCGTTTAGCAGTTTTTCCTCTGCTAAAGAATACATTGTTAAACATCCCTGATTATACTTCCATATGCCTTGGCCGCGGAACCTCTGCTAATCGCTGTTTTGGTTATTTCCAGATGTTTTGTTTGATTTCTAGCTACAAACTAACACTGGAATAAATTTCCTTGGGTACTCATCTTTGCAGACTCGATTTTTATTTTTTTTTTAGAATTCAGTGTTTTTGCTTTTAACATCTCTTTTTGTGTCGGTCCTGAGGACAGAGCCAGCCCGGGGCAGTGTTGCTGCGCGTTGCCTGGGGTGAAAGGCTGAAGGCTGCCTCTGCTTGCACACTGGCTTCTGAGATTTCACCTTCTTCTCCTGCTTCTCCTCCAACTCTATGACCCTTCAAGGTAAGAAGATGGCCCCTGGGCAAGGGCTCTGGCTAGTCCAGCCTGAAGAGATGGGCTTCTGCCAAACCTGTGTGCTGTGCTCCAGGCCATGCATCAGGGTGGTGGGACAGTGTCCCAGCTCCCTCTGCATCCTAGTTACTTCTGAAAGCCACAGTCACCCACTTTTTCTTCCCTCTTTCCATTCTTCCATATGCTATTTACCTGTTCATCCCCTGATCCACCCACCCACCCACCCACCCATCAGTCTACCTCCTTGTTTTTTTTTTTGAGACGGAGTTTCACTCTTGTTACCCAGGCTGGAGTGCAATGGCGCGATCTCGGCTCACCGCAACCTCCGCCTCCTGGGTTCAGGCAATTCTCCTGCCTCAGCCTCCTGAGTAGCTGGGACTACAGGCACGCGCCACCATGCCCAGCTAATTTTTTGAATTTTTAGTAGAGACGGGGTTTCACCATGTTGACCAGGATGGTCTCGATCTCTTGACCTCGTGATCCACCCGCCTCGGCCTTCCAAAGTGCTGGGATTACAGGCTTGAGCCACCGCCCGGGCATCAGTCTACCTCCTATTGGGTTATGGCTTCACCAATGTCACCAATCTCTCCAGCTCTCTTTAATTTCATTTATTTTCCTTCCTTCCTTCCTCCTTCACTTCCCTTCCCTTCCCTTCGTTTCCCTCCCCTCCCCTCCTCCCCTTCCCTTCCCTCGTCCCCTTCCCTTCCCTCCTCCTCCCTTCCCTTCCCCTCCTTCCCTCCTTTCTTTCTTTCTTTCTTTCTTTCTTTCTTTCTTTCTTTCTTTCTTTCTTTCTTTCTTTCTCTTTCTTTCCTTCCTTCCTTCCTTCCCTCCCTCCCTCCCTCCCTCCCTCTCTCTCTTTCTTTCTTTCTTTTCTTTTTTTTTTGAGACAGAGTCTCACTCCGGGTGCCAGGCTGGAGAGCAGTGTCGCGATCTCGGCTCACCTAAACCTCTGCCTCCTGGGTTCAAGCAATTCTCCTGGCTTAGCCTCCCAAGTGGCTGGGATTACAGGCACCCGCCATCATGCCTGGCTATTTTTTTTTGTATTTTTAGTAGAGAGGGGGTTTCGCCACGTTGGCCAGGCTGGTATCGAACTCCTGACCTCAGGTGATCCACCCGCCTCAGCCTCCCAGAGTGCTGGCATTACATGTGTGAGCCACTGAGCCTGGCCTCCTTTAGCTTCACATTCATTTATCTGCTTGTCTTACATCTATTCATCTACCCACCCACTCATTCATTCATTCATCTTTCCATACATTTGTCCCTCCCCCTACCCATCCACCATCCATCATTCATCCATCTATCTATGTATCCATTCATCCTCCCACCCACCCATCATTCCATTTTCCATCTACCCATCTACCTACCCACCCACCCATCCATCCATTCACCCATTCATCCACATAATCTTCCCTCCCTCTATCCATTTACCATCCAATCCATCCACCTTTCATCCGTCCATCTACCCATCCATTTATCCACCTATCTATTTTTTGTTTGTTTGAGACGGAGTCTTGCTCTGTCACCCAGGATGGAGTGCAATGGTGTGATCTCGCCTCACTGCAACCTCTGCCTCCTGGGTTCAAACAATTCTCCTGCCTCAGCCTCCCGAGTAGCTGTGATTACAGGTGGCTAAGTTCTGTATTTTTAGTAGAGACGGGGTTTCACTATCCACCCACCTTGGCTGCCACCACGCCCAGCCCCACCTATCTATTCACCAGTGTTTGCCCATTTATAGACCCATCTGCCCATCCATCCACCAATTCATCCACCCACCCTTGCATCCATCCATTCATCTATGTATGTATCCATCCATCCTTCCATCCATTTATCCATCCACCCATCTTTTCATCAGTTGTTTCGCCTATCCCTCCATTCATCTGCTCATTCACCCATCGGCTCATTTATCCATCCATCCATCCATCCATCCATCCATCCACCCACCCATCCACTCACCCATGTGTCCATTTTCCTGTTAATCTGCCTTATTTATTTATTTATTTTTGAAAAGGAGTCTCAGTCTTGTCACCCAGGCTGGAGCGCAGTGGCACGATCTCAGCTCACTGCAATTTCCTCCTCCTGGGTTCAGGCAATTCTCCTGCCTCAGCCTCCGAGTAGCTGGGACTACAGATGTGTGCCACCACGCCTGGCTACTTTTTTGTATTTTTAGTAAAGATGGGGTTTTACCATGTTGGCCAAGCTGGTCGTGAACTCCTGATTTCAAGCAGTCTGTCCACGCTGGCCTCCCAGAGTGCTGGGATGACAGGCGTGAGCCACCGCGCCAGCCAGTCTGCCTTTACCTCTTCATTCGTCAGCTTCGTTTATCTCTTCATCAAGTCCTTCACCCGTTTCTCACCCCATCCACCATTCACTCATCCACGGATACATCCACTCAGTATCTAGCCCTGTATCCATCTGTCCATCCAACTTCCAGTCCACTCACTGTTTATCAGTCAAGGTGCCTACCCGCCCGGTACCAAGCCCTATGACTGAGATGGGGGACACAGAAATGACTCTGTCTTCTAGGATTCACAGTCAGTGGGGAGAGGCAAATAATATCCCCCATTACACTTCTCTCTCTCTCTCTTTAACACACGCACACACACAGCGAGAGAAGCAAACAGGAAATTTCCAAAACATTGTGATCAGTGCTTTACTCGGGGTACATCCAAGATAAAGTTCGAGAAGCAGGCCGGGCGCGGTGGCTCACGCCTGTCATCCCAGCACTCTGGGAGGCTGAGCCTGGTGGATCACCTGAGGTCAGGAGTTCGAGACCAGCCTGGCCAACACGGTAAAACCCCATCTTTACTAAAAATACAAAAAATTAGCTAGGCATGGTGGCACACGCCTGTAGTCCCAGCTACTCGGGAGGCTGAGGCAGGAGAATTGCCTGAACCCAGGAGGCGGAGGCTGCGGTGAGCTGAGATCGCACCATTGCACTCCACCCTGGGTAACAAGAGTGAAACTGTCTCAAAAAAAAAAAAAAAAAAAAGAGGGGGCCGGGTATGGCGGCTCATGCCTATGGTCCCAGCACTTTGGGAGGCCAAGGCGGGCAGATCGCGAGGTCGGGAGATAGAGACAATCCTGGCCAACATGGTGAAACCCCGTCTCTAAAAATAAATAAATATATAAATACATACATTACAAAAAAAGCAGGTAAGTGGTTGGGCATTCCAGTGGCATGCACTGTGTGCCAGGATGAAGTGACCATAGGATGATGAGAAATGCATCTAGGGACAGCAAAGGCCACTTGAGAGAGGGAGGGAAGGATAGAAAGACGGAGGAGGAAGATCTCAAGGTGCCAGGAACAAGAATATCTGGGTCCGGGGGGCCAGTGTCCTCCCCAGCCAGGAGACCTCTGGTCTGCAGGACCTGCTGTGCCCTGACCACCCCCTGCCACCCCACAGGCAGAGCTGACCTGCCCAGGAATCAAGGCAATGCAGTCGGCCGCCCAGTCCAGTTCAACAGCCAGTTGTCACCCAGTTGGGCAGTGTGTCCTCCAGCCCCCACCCACGCCTAGCCTCCCGGAAACAATGGAGAAAGCGACTCCACAGCCCCAGCACCAGGGCCCCACGTCCAAGGAGCATCTTCTGCAGCAGCCTGCCCGAGCCGAGCCGGTGCCCCGCCACATCCCACGCCTCCGGGCTGTGGTCGAGAGCCAGGCCTTCAGGAAAATCCTAGTAGACGAGATGGACATGCTGCATTCCCACGCGGCCACGCTCATCCAAGCCAGCTGGAGGGGCTACCAGCTCCGGCAGAAGCTCATTTCCCAGATGATGGCGGCCAAGGCCATCCAGAAGGCCTGGCGGCGCTTCAGCACGAGACGCATCCTTCACTCCAGGAAGCTGTCGGTGAAGAAAGCGAAGGCGGAGGAGGGGGACATCCCTTATCACGCCCCACAGCAGGTGCGCTTCCAGCATCTGGAAGAGAACTGCCTTCTGTGCCCGCCTGTCAGGGTGAACAAGGAGACCCAGTTCCCGTCCTGTGACAATCTGGTCCTCTGCAGGCCCCAGTCGACCCCGCTCCTGCAGAGCCCCGTGGCTCAGGGTGCCCCAGACCCCTGCATGCAGGCTCCTCGTGCTGCCGGAGTCCCGGGGTTGGCCTTCCTGCCACACCAGATGGTCACCATCAGATTTCCCTGCCCGGTGAATCCGGGCGCAAAGTGCCAGCCGTGCCTGCTGACCAGAACCATCAGAAGCACCTGCCTCGTCCACATAGAGGGTGACTCAGTGAAGGCCAAACGTGTCACCGCCCGGACCAACAAAGCCGGGGCCGCAGAGACACCGCTCTCTGGAAGGTGTGGCCAGGCAGTTATGGGACCACCCAGCACCCAAGCCCAGGGCCCTGTGGAAGCAGAGACCCTGAAAGCCCCCTTCCAGGTGTCCCCAGGGCCCATGATCACCACGACCCTGCTCTACACGTACCCAGTGGCCTCCATGACCCTGCCACAGATGTGTCCAGCGTCCACAGTGACCAAGACTCTACCCAAGACTAGCCGGGTTCCCAAAATCACAACAACCAAGACCCCAGCCCCACCGTCTCCGCGGCCCGCAGTGACCAAAACTGCGCCTCATGCATGCCCCATGCCCATGGTGACAAAGCTCCAGGTGCACCCTGCAGCCTCTGGCACCCGCACCCCGCTGCAGATGCGCCCCGCAACCGTCATGGCCAAGAACCCACCTCAAGTGTGCCTTCTGGCTTCCATCATGAAGAGCCCGCCCCAGATATGCCCAGGGCCTTCCATGGCAAAGACCCCGTCCCAGATGCGCCAGGCGGCCGCCCCAGCCAAAAACCTGCTGCAGACATGTCTGGCAGCCACCACGTCCAAGACTTCATCCCGGACGAGTCCAGCTGGGGTGACGAAGCCCTCGCCCCAGACGCGTCTGGCAGCCATCATAACCAGGACCCCTGCCCAGTTACGCTCGGTGGCCACCATCCTCGGGACCCTGTGTCTGGCCTCAGCAGCAGCGGGAAGCGTCAAGGCTCCACCCCCAGCGGCGGTTGCAGCGGGAATTCCCAACACCCGGGGCTCCACCCAGGAGAAGCAGCCCAAGGCCAAGGCCGAGGTGAACGTGAAGCCGGCTGTGGAGGTGGTCAAAGCCTCATCCCGCTCCTGTGTGGCTGAGGGGAAGATCAGACGTGTGCCCCAACCACATCCCGGAGCTGGGGTCCCCAGGGCTCTAGCTAAACTTCCTTTAGAAGCCGAGAAAATCGAGACTGGCCCCCAGAGACAGGTGAAAATAGACATGGCACTTAAGACCAGTGTGGCAGTGGAGACATCTGGGGCTCCATCCTGGACAAACGCTGCAGAAGAAGGGGATGACCCACCTCACCTGTTTGAGCCTATAGAAGAAATGGCTGTCACCCTGTCCCAGGAACAGCTGGCTGCCCCACTGACCAATGCCTCATCCCAGAGACATCCACCCTGCCTGTCCCAGAGACAGCAGGCCTCCCCGCTGACCAAAGCCTCATCTCAGGGACATCTGCCCACCGAGCTGACCAAGACCCCGTCCCTGGACCACCTGGTCACCTGTCTGAGCAAGGTACATTCCCAGACACATCTGGCTGCAGGTGCCATGAAGGTCCAATCCCAAACACATCTGTCCACCTGTCTGACCAAGACACAGTCCCAGGGGCAGCAGGTCACAGACATAACCAAGTGCCTCATCCCAGCGTACCAGGCTGCTGACCTCAGCAGCAAGACCCGTTCCCAGGTGCTCCTAACCAGGTCTAAGGGACCCAGCCAGGCCTGCCAGCACCTCAGTGCCCTCAGCGCTCCGCCCTGGGCCAAGCCGGAGGACAGATGTACTCAGCTGCAGCCCCACAGCCAGGTGTCAGGGAAGACTACTCAGCAGGGACCATGCCCAGCGGCCTCTGAGGTCCCGGGTATGCTCGTGCCATTGACGGCACCCACCGGACATTCCACATGCAGTGTTGAGTCCTGGGGGGACAGCGGGGCTGCAGGTGCCCAGCTGTCAATGCCTGGCCAGGCGGTGCCCTGCCAGGAGGACACGGTGGGCTCCCTGCTGGCCTCTCTGTGTGCTGAACTGGCCACTGTCCTGGCATCCCAGGAAGATCTCCACATTCTGTTGGCCAAAGCCCTCTCCCAGGGAGAAATCTGGGCAGCTCTGAACCAAGCCCTGTCCAAGGAGGTCCTGGGTGCCGCTGTCACCAAAGCGCTGCCCCAGGGTGTGCTGAGCCTGGCGCTGGGGAAGGCGCTGTCCTGGAGTGAGCTGCGCCTGGCCCTGTCCCGGGGCGAGCTGCGGGTGGAACTCACCAAAGCCATGCAGGGAAAATTGGCGGAGGTGCTTAGCAAGGCTTTGACGGAGGAGGAGCGGGCAGCTCTGAGCCAGGCCCTGTGCCAGGGCAAGCTGGGTGCCATCCTGAGCCAGTCTTTGTATCAGGTGGCCCTGAGGACTGGAACCATCCTCCCCAAAATCAACAGTAAGCAGGCCACCTCAAAATCAACAGGAAGCAGGGTGACTAAGACGCTGGCCCCGGCGGAGGTGGCCTGCAGGGGCAGTCCGTCAGCTGCGTGGGGGCCCTGCCTGGGCCCCATGAGACCACAGGCCAGCAAGGTCAGGGATTCCCAGGTTGGGGTCTGGGAGCGTTTCACCATAGGCCAGGCTGCCTTGGGAGAGGGGACCCAGCAGGGACTTCTCAAATCTGGATTTGAGCTGCAAATTCCAAAAGGAAAATGCATGCCTGAGCCTAGAGCTTGGTCCATTGGCATCAGATTTGAACCCCGAAGGGGGTGGGGTGGGCCCCAGTTTGCCCAGGCTGTCCCACATGCAGCCACCCCTGAGTCTGTGACCGCCTCTCATTGCCAGCGGTGTGGGCTCAAGCATAAACCAACCCTCCATGACTTTTGGCATGGCCCCGAGCTCCCACAAGCCACACGTGGTCAGCAGGGTGGCCTCTTGTCCGTCAACCGGGGAGGGGAGGGAGGCCTCAGGCAGGCTTCTGAGCAGTGTGGGCAGTGGGAGCGCTGCCCGTGTTCACCAGCCTCACCCTGCCTGCGGGAGCCTGAATTGGTGTCCGTCCTCCAGGGTTAGCAGGGGCCATCCCGGTGTCTACCAACCCTCAGTGGCCAGGGGCCATCAGAAGCCATCCAGAGCTTCCAAGGAGAGCCTGCAGAGGAGGTCTCAGCCCCCAAATCACAAACAGGCCTCCCCAGGTACTAGGGAGGCGATCGACAAGGCAGCCCCAAGTCCCTTCCAGGTCACCAGGGTGACCACAACTGAGGCACGCAAGACTTGCGGTCTGTTTCAAGCTTCCCCAGGCAATGCACTGACGCACGTTCGTCCCAAGACATCCATCCATGGACAGGGGAGGGATCGAACGCAGGATTCCATGTCTGCCCTGCTCTGTCCCCGGAAGCTGGCTACAGACCACCAGCCATCCATCCTCAGTGAGCTGGTAGGCGGTCTGCCGCAGGTTCGAGACAGTGGCCTGGCTGAGAGCTTCTCCCAAGGCAAATCTGAAAGCTCCCTGCAAAGCTCTCGCTCCTTCAGCCTTTCTGCCCTGTCCGTGGCCAGCCTGCCTGCTGTCAGTAAGATAGATGAGTCACGGGAAGGCAGTTTAGAAGGGGACCTTGCCCAGAAGCCCCTTTTTCCTCCAGAGTCCATGAGGACACCAGAGGTTTAAGGATACGCAAGAGGCTGAAACTGCCTCTAGGTATGTGACTCTACGCTTCCCCTACCAGCCCGCTCCAGCCTCGTAGCAGGTGCCCATTTTCCAGCGCAGCTCAGTGTCTAATGGTGTGACTGCGTGTTCACTGGGGCTCAGAGACCGAGATCCCTCAGTTTTCCTCAGACGAGCTCTGTGACTCTGATCCACATGTCTCAGGCCACCATCACGACAGAGCCGAGGAGGACTCTGTCTTTAGGTACTGTGGTCCCCACGGCATGTAAGCCACCATCTGTGGCCATGAGCTTGGCTCCAAGTGTGTCTCAGGCTACACTGGCCATCAGGGTAACCCCATAGCCAGGCCACGCATCAGAGTCCAGTAGGCTGGCCCCAAGCCTATCCCAGCATATAGCATCCAGTAGAGTGTCCCCAAGGTTAGCTCCCCATCTATGGCTAATGGGGTGACCCCAAGTCTACCACACTCCTCTATGCCTAATAGAGTGACACTGAGACCAGCACAGGCATCTGTGGTGAGCGGGAGGTCCCCAAGCCAAGGACACCCATCAAGGACCTTTGGAGTGGCTTCAAACCACGGCCACCAATCAATAGCTAACTGGGGGTCCCAAAAGCTAGCCCAGCCATCTGTGGTCAGTGGGGAGTCCTCAAGCCTAGACCAGCCATCTCAAGCCTTTGGGGTGTCTCCAAGTCCAGCCTACCCATCTCAGGTCACTGGGTAGTATCCAACCCTGGCCCAGCCATCTCAGCCCTCTGAGGAGTCTCCAAGTCTGGCCCAGCCATCTCTGACTATCAGAGTGTCCACAAGCGTAGCTCAGCCATCTCAGAGTATTGGAGTACCCCTAAGCCTAGCCATGTCATCTCACACCATTGGACTGTCCCCAAGCCTAGCCATGTCATCTCACACCATTGGAGAGTCCCCAGGCCTAGCCATGGCATCTCACACCATTGGACTGTCCCCAAGCCTAGCCATGTCATCTCACACCATTGGAGAGTCCCCAGGCCTAGCCATGGCATCTCACACCATTGGACTGTCCCCAAGCCTAGTCATGGCATCTCACACCATTGGAGAGTCCCCAGGCCTAGCCATGTCATCTCACACCATTGGAGAGTCCCCAAGCCTAGTCATGGCATCTCACACCATTGGAGAGTCCCCAGGCCTAGTCATGGCATCTCACACCATTGGAGAGTCCCCAGGCCTAGCCATGTCATCTCACACCATTGGAGAGTCCCCAAGCCTAGCCATGTCATCTCACACCATTGGAGAGTCCCCAGGCCTAGCCATGGCATCTCACACCATTGGAGAGTCCCCAGGCCTAGCCATGGCATCTCACACCATTGGACTGTCCCCAAGCCTAGCCATGTCATCTCACACCATTGGAGAGTCCCCAGGCCTAGCCATGGCATCTCACACCATTGGACTGTCCCCAAGCCTAGTCATGTCATCTCACACCATTGGAGAGTCCCCAAGCCTAGTCATGGCATCTCACACCATTGGAGAGTCCCCAGGCCTAGTCATGGCATCTCACACCATTGGAGAGTCCCCAGGCCTAGCCATGTCATCTCACACCATTGGAGAGTCCCCAAGCCTAGCCATGTCATCTCACACCATTGGACTGTCCCCAAGCCTAGCCATGGCATCTCACACCATTGGAGAGTCCCCAGGCCTAGCCATGGCATCTCACACCATTGGACTGTCCCCAAGCCTAGCCATGTCATCTCACACCATTGGAGAGTCCCCAGGCCTAGCCATGGCATCTCACACCATTGGACTGTCCCCAAGCCTAGTCATGGCATCTCACACCATTGGAGAGTCCCCAGGCCTAGCCATGTCATCTCACACCATTGGAGAGTCCCCAAGCCTAGTCATGGCATCTCACACCATTGGAGAGTCCCCAGGCCTAGTCATGGCATCTCACACCATTGGAGAGTCCCCAGGCCTAGCCATGTCATCTCACACCATTGGAGAGTCCCCAAGCCTAGCCATGTCATCTCACACCATTGGACTGTCCCCAAGCCTAGCCATGGCATCTCACACCATTGGAGAGTCCCCAGGCCTAGCCATGGCATCTCACACCATTGGACTGTCCCCAAGCCTAGCCATGGCATCTCACACCATTGGAGAGTCCCCAGGCCTAGCCATGGCATCTCACACCATTGGACTGTCCCCAAGCCTAGCCATGGCATCTCACACCATTGGAGAGTCCCGAAGCCTAGTCATGTCATCTCACACCATTGGAGAGTCCCCAGGCCTAGCCATGTCATCTCACACCATTGGAGAGTCCCCAGGCCTAGCCATGTCATCTCACACCATTGGAGAGTCCCCAGGCCTAGCCATGTCATCTCACACCATTGGAGAGTCCCCAGGCCTAGTCATGGCATCTCACACCATTGGAGAGTCCCCAGGCCTAGTCATGGCATCTCACACCATTGGAGAGTCCCCAGGCCTAGTCATGGCATCTCACACCATTGGAGAGTCCCCAAGCCTAGTCATGGCATCTCACAGCATTGGACTGTCCCCAAGCCTAGCCATGGCATTTCACATCATTGAAGTGTCCCGAAGCCTAGTCGTGCCATCTCACACCATTGGAGGGTCCCCAAGCCTAGTCATGGCATTTCACATCATTGAAGTGTCCCCAAGCCTAGTCATGCCATCTCACACCATTGGAGAGTCCCCAAGCCTAGTCATGCCATCTCACACCATTAGAGAGTCCCCAAGCCTAGCTCACCTGTCTATGGCCATTCATGAGTCTCCAAGCCTGGCTCAGCCTCCTCAGGCCACTGGGGAATCCCTAAGCTTGACCTGGCTATCTCAGGCCACTGGGGTATCCTCAAGTGTACCCCACCAGTCTGTGGCCAGTAGGGTGTTCCCAAGTCTAGCCCAGCCATCTCAAGTCAGTGGGATGTCCCCTAGATGAGATTACCCATCAATGGCCTGCAGGGTGTCCCCAAGCCGAGCTCTTTGATCTATGCCCAGTGAGGTGTCCCCAAGCCTAGCCCAGCCATCTCAAGCCACGGGGAGGTCCTCAAGGCTAGCCCACCGACCTATGACCTGTGTGGTATCCCCAAGCCCAGCCCAGTTATCTCAAGCTATTTGTGTGTCCCCAAGCCTCGCCCACCCATCAGGGCCCTGCGGGTTGTCTCCAAGCCTAGCTCATCCATATGTGGCCAGTGGGGCAGCCGCCAGCCGAGCCTACTCATCTCAGACCACTACAGGATCCCCAAACCAAGCCCGACCATCTGTAGCCCCCAGCCCAGCCAAGACACATTCATCTCACAGCCCAGCCTCCAGCCTAGCAGAGCCAGCCACAGCCCCCGGCCTATTCCTGCCATCTGTGGCCCAGAGGGAATCCCTGAGCCTGGCCCAGTCACCCTTGTGCACTAGGCTGGCCCCAAGCCCATGGCAGCCACCTGTGGTCAGTGGTACGTGCTGTGGCCTCAGTGACCCACGTTGGGGCTCTGGGCTGGACTCACATCTGCAGTGCTTGAGGGTGAATGCAGTAGCTCCGCATCTGTGCCACCTACCAGCGCGGTGGACCTGTGGACCTTGTCCCTCTGTGGCTGGAAGTGTGGGCCAGGGTCTGAACCCGCCATCTCTGGGTGCTGGGGTGGACCCATGTGAAAAGCCTCTGATGGTTAGTGAGACGATATCCAGCCTCCAGGCCTCCAAGCTCAATGACCTGTCCCTGGGGTTCCATCACCCATGCAGCATCGGTGGGAGGCGTGGGTGCCCAGCCTTTGTGGTCAGTGTTTCAACACCAAATCTCTCCCAGGCTGGTGAGGAGGCCTGCCGTACAGGCCAGCGAACCACACCTCTGTTCAGGGGCGTGGCTACAAGCTATCCCCAGGGGCCCGTGGCTGATGCTATGTTCCTTAGTGGGTGTTAGGGAACCCCGTCTCCTGGCCTAGCTGGGAGTCTCCCCTGGAGAACCATGGTAACTGGCACTGGCCAGAGTCACTGTCAGGTGGCCAATGGCATGGCTTCCTTGCATCCCAGGTCTCTGAGGGAGGTGACCCTTTCACACATCCCTCTGGAGCCACCGGGAAGGCCCCCAGCCCCTCTCTGGCTTCAGCACCCAACAGACTGGGCATGACTCAGTCTAATCTTTCCCGGAACAGTGCGGGTCCTGGCATCTCCCAAATCATGGGCACGGTCCCAGGCACTCCACCTGTGGCACAGCCTCCAGCTTTCCCCCAGGGTCCAGCATCCCAGGCATGGGTCAGAGCCCCTCTGCAGGTTCTGTGTCCAGTTGGCAGATAGAAAGAAGCCGAGCCTATCCATAAGACCCTCTGCTAGCTTAGCTGCTCCAAACTTGCTCCCAGGTTCAGTAGTGAGTGGGGAGAGCCCAGGTGTCCCCTCTGGTTCTGTGCCAACAATGGGGGCCTCTAGTGTGGCTCAGAGCCACCCCAAGGGGTCCATGCTGATTGGAACCACTGCCCGTCCTTACCACAGAGCCCTGGCTGGGGAGAGTTTGACAGTCGCTTTGCAGATGTCCCACGCCACCAGCCTGGCTCCAGTTCACTCCCCAGCCCCAGTCGCTAGTGGTACAGCCAGGAGTCCTCGCCCAGTGCCCACGGTTCTGTCAAGAGCCTTACAGTTGAGCCGCGATGCCGCGATGATGCCATCTGGGGCCACAGGCCACCAGGCTGAGCTGGGAGAATTGGATGAGGCTCTGTCCCAAGCATCAGGATGAAGCGGATCCAGTGACATCCTCAGCAAAGCTGGGGTCACTGATGCAACTCCGTGAATGTACCCCAGTCCTCCGAGAGCTTATGGGGGCCATGACCATAGGTCCCCGTCTGAGAAAGGGACTCTTCCCCAAGGCCAAACAGCATTGTTCAAGGAGGTGCCTTCCAGCCATGCTAGTGGCATGGTCCCTGTCCCTTTTCAGACCCTGGGTTTAGCTACTAAGACTCCCTCAGTTTCTCAGCAGGAGTCGGTGGCTCACACTAGACCCCCAGATCACTATCAGGGTATAGTGGCTTCTAATGTAGTCTCAGGTTCACCCCAGATGGCCCGTGGCAGTACTGAGGCTTCCAGATTGCTTCCAGGTTCTGCGGCCAGGGTGGGGAACCCTAGTCTTCCCCAGAGGTCAGGGACAGCATGGTCTCACATGCGCCACCATATCCATTCTCGGCTAGAAAGGCATCGTCCAGTCCCTTCCAGATGGACACTGTCCCCAGTGCACTCCAGAAAACAGTGTCTGGGAACCCGGCTCAGAGCAGCCGCTGGGACTCCACGGGCCCTAAAAATTCCTACAGATCCACACATGGTAGTATTGTTTCAGAACTGCTAGAAAGTTCTGTGGCCAGGGTTAGGCCCTTCCAGGCTGTGCAAAGGCAAGCATCCCAGGCCTCACCGAGAGGTGCTGCAAACCCCACGCGTCTCCCCTCTGCAGAGGTAAGACCCATCATCCGCACCGGGGAGATGACGCACCCCTCGGCCATTCCCCCGCTGGTCCTGGTTCAGAGGGTGTCTCTAGGCTACGAGTCCTCCCCGAATGGTTCCCTGCAGCCCCTTTTTAACTAGGAGTCACTGTGGGGATCTCAGGACTCCTGCTGTTAATCACAAGGCACCCCTGAACTCCACTATATTCCAGGGCCCCGTGGATGCTGGTGTGGCTGGTGGCCAATCGTGGAACCGCGCCATATCCAGTGCAGTGGTCAGGCCCATGGACCGCGGCGTGGCTCGGGGCAGCGCGTGGGAGTCGGCCAGGGGTGCTGCGTCCTGGGAGACCCGGCGCCACAAGGCGGTGGTGCATCCCAGGTGGTCTGGGCAGCCGATGGTGTCCATTCAGGCCACAGAGGAGAGCCTCATCCTGGCAGTGGTCACGCTCCAGGCGGGCGCCCGTGGCTACCTGGTGCGTCGCAGGATCCGGGTGTGGCACCAGAAGGCCGTGGTCATCCAAGCTACTTGGCGCGGCTACCGTGTGCGGCAGAACCTGGCACTCCTCTACAGAGCCATCACGATCATCCAGGCTGCCTGGCGCGGCTACTGCACCCGCCGGAACCTCGCCCGGCACCGGCAGAGGCTCCACCCCGTCCTGTGGGCGAAGCTGGGCGGCAAGGTCCGGGTCCCGTCTGACGGCAGCCACTTCCAGGATGGCAGGGCCAGGGCCGTGTCGGACCATCACTGCTTCCAGTCCTGCCAGCCACACGTGTGCAGTGTCTGCCACTCCCTGAGCTCCAAGATCGGGAGCCCGGCCAGTGTGGTGATGCTCGCGGGCTCCAGCCCTCGCATCTGTCACACCTGCGGACACACCCAGCCCACCCGCGTGGTGCAGGGCATGGGCCGGTTGGCCGGGGGCCCCGGGGCAGTGTCCTGGGCCTCCGTCTCCCAGCGGGCTATCCTGAGCCCCAGGCAGCCACATCACCAGGACAAAGCAGCCACAGCCATCCAGTCCGCCTGGAGAGGCTTTAAGATCCGAAGGCAGATGAGGCAGCAGCAAGTGGCAGCGAAGATAGTTCAAGCCACCTGGCGAGGCTACTACACCCGGAGGTGCCTGAAGAGCCCAGAAGCACTCCTGGGACCAGCAGGCCCCTGGGCCAGCTCACGGCACACACATTGGCCCTGCCTCTAGCACCCTGGCTCCCTGCAGTGGGGACTTCGTGGGAGGCACAAGTGGCTCCCTGGGCCTAATGAATAAAGTCCTCCACAGCCTACAAATTGGGTGATGTGTTCTGGGTTAATGGAAGCGGTTTGGGTACAGTGGGGGGTCCAGAACATCCCGGAGGGAAGAGTCTGAAGTTTCCAACCATGTAGGATGTATCTGGGGTCTGTGGCCAGGACAGGGACCTCAATTCTTTTCCGGAGGTCAGGGGCTGCCAATGTGGTCTCACCTGTGCCCTTGCCATATCCACCTATGGGTAGTGGGATGGTGTCCAGCCCGTCCCAGATGGAAACTGTCCCCGGTGCACTCTAGAAATGTGTCTGGGACCCGGCCCAAAGCACCCACCTCGTGTCCCTCACCCCTAAAAATCCCACAGGATGGCTGTAATCCCAGCACTTTGGGAGGTCCAGGTGGGTGGATCACCTGAGGTCAGGAGTTCGAGACCAGCCTGACCAACACAGAGAAACCCTGTCCCTACTAAAAATACAAAAAATTAGCCGGGCGTGGTGGTGCACGCCTGTAATCCCAGCTACTCGGGAGGCTGAGGCAAAAGAATCGCTTGAACCTGGGAGGCGGAGGTTGCAGTGAGCAGAGATTGTGCCACTCTACTCCAACCTGGGCAACAAAAGCGAAACTTCATCTCAAAAAAAAAAAAAAAAAGAAAGAAAAAGAAAAATTAAAAAATAGGCCAGGTGCAGTGGCTCACGCCTGTAATTCCAGCACTTTGGGAGACCAAGGCAGGCGGATCACCTGAGGTCAGGAGTTCAAGACCAGCCTGACCAACATGGAGAAACTCCACCTCTACTAAAAATACAAAAAATTAGTTGGGCATGGTGGTGCATACCTGTAATCCCAGCTAGTCGGGAGGCTGAGGCAGGAGACTTGAACCTGGGAGGCGAAGGTTGCAGTGAGCTGAGATAGTGCCACTGCACTCCAGCCTGGGCAACAGAGTGAGACCCTGTGTCCAAAAAAAGAAGGAAAAGGGCTGGGCACTGTGGCTCACGCCTGTAATTCCAACATACTTTGGGAGACTGAGGCTGACCTCCTAATTTGAGGTCAGGAGTTTGAGACCAGCGTGACCAGCATGGTGAAACCCTGTCTCTACTAAAAATACAAAAATTAGCCCGGTGTGGTGGCACACGCCTGTAATCCCAGCTACTCAGGAGGCTGAGGCAAGAGAATTGCTTGAACTTGGGAGGCAGAGGTTGCAGTGAACCGAGATTGCTCCATTGTACTCCAGTCTGGGTGACAGAAGTCCAGGATAGAAATGCTAGAAGGTTTGTTATGTCCCCAAAAGGCCACAGTCTGGGTGAGAAAGAGGACAGAGGAGGACAAGGATATCCCCAGCCCTGCAGGTTCTGGGACAGGATGGAGGTGGGGGCACTATGGGTTCCCAGAGGGGGCAGCCTGGCTGGAGGAAGGGTAGAGGGAGTGTAGCAGCTATGGAGTCAGGAGCAGGGGAAAGCGGACGGGAGGGGCAGGGTGTCTTTAGCGGATGACTGGGTTTGAGAGCTTCTGGGTCATTGTGTTTAGAGGGAGTGGAGTGCAGGTGAAGAGGGTGGGAACCGCACCCCGGGGGAGGAGGAGAGCCCAGGAGAGGCTCCACACCCTGAAAAGCCCCACCTACACCTCACCCCGGCACAGTGCCATGCTCTGCCAGCAGGGGGCGCATGCACAGGTGCAAGGAGCAGGCGCCTGGGCACACACCTGGCCACACACCTGTGCAGAGCTGGCGGCAGGCCCTCCCCGCGCAGGAATGGCGTGCCCCCAGCTGCCTCGGCTTCTGCTTGCGGTGCTGTTGCCGGTGCTCCTGTTGAAAGCTTCTGATTCTAATGACAGCACTCCCTCTACAGGTAAGGGCAGGTGAAAGGGAGACCCGGCTTCCAGACAGCAAAAGGGTGGGGGTGGGGGACTCACAGCCCAGCCACACACCTGGCGTCTGGACCCCTCCCTCAGGCCGCACGGGTCCACCAGCCCTCCGGGGAAGGCTGGCCTTTCCCCCAGAAACAAACGCAGCGGCAGTGAGGACAGCTGAGGCACCGCTGCTCCCAAGCCCTGGGGCTGTGGGTTCCACAACCCCAGTGAGTTCTGAACTGGCCGGAGGCTACAGACGATCTCACACCTCGTCTGGGGCCCCTCTTCAAATCTGTTTCTTTCAGTCAATCCCTAAAGGGAGAGCGGTGAAGACCGCAGGGTTGCGGCGGGTCCAGGGAATAGGGACTCACTTCCTGGTCGTCAAACATCTGTGGTTCCCACGAGAAGTTCTTCTGGGTGTCTGACTAAATTCCCTCCTGCTGTCCTATGACACAGTGCCAGCTGGGTGAGGTGGCTCACACCTATAATCCCAGCACTTTGGGAGGCGGAGATGGGCAGATCACAAGGTGAAGAGATTGAGACCATCCTGGCCAACATGGTGAAACCCCGTCTCGACTAAAAATACTGCTGGGCGCACTGGCTCACGCCTGTAATCCCAACACTTTGGGAGGTCAAGGCGGGCAGATCATGAGGTCAGGAGATCGAGACCATGCTGGCTAACTTGGGGAAACCCCGTCTCTACTAAAAATATTAAAAATTAGCTGGGCATGGTGGTGCACACCTGTAGTCCCAGCTACTCTGGAGGCTGAGGCAGGAGAATTGCTTAAACCTGGGAGGCGGAGGTTGCAGTGAGCCGAGATTGTGCCATTGCACTCCAGCCTGGGCGACAGAGCAAGACTCTGTTTCAAAAAAAAAAAAAAAGACAGTGTCTAGGGTGGAGGGGAGGAGCCTTGAGCTTCTCACGTCCCCTTTTTCTGCCCTCCCCTGCCACTACGTCATTACTCTCTCTGACTGGTGTCCTAGCCCCCGAACCCGTAATGTCAGAGCAGAGGCCACCATGGCTGAAATGCTCATTGCAGGGTAGGGGTTCATTCAGAAGGCACCATGTGTATTCCCATTTCATAGCTCAGGAAACCGAGGCTCAGTCCAGCCTGTCGCAGACCCACATCAGAACAGGTTGACCTGGCTCATGTGAGCTCCCACTCTAGCAATCTCTGGAAAAGCAAACACCTAAAACGGTGCCTAGAAACAGGCTGATTTGGACTTTCTGGTCAACTCTCCAGCAGCTCACCAGTGCCTACTCGGTGCCAGGCACTCAGTAGGGCTTGTGTCCTCCAACTCTTCCTTTTTCTTTCCATTTTTGAGACAGGGTCTCACTCTGTTGCCAGGCTGGAATGCACTGGCGCAATCTTGGCTCACTGCAACCTCCACCTCCCGGGTTCAAGTGATTCTCCAGCCTCAGCCTCCGGAATAGCCAGGATCATAGGCGTGTGCGACCATACCTGGCTAATTTTTGTATTGTTAGTAGAAAAGGGGTTGACCATGTTGGTCAGGCTGGTCTCGAACTCCTGACCTTGTGATCCACCCACCTCAGCCTCCCAAAGTGCTGGGATTACAGGTGTGAGCCACCGCGCCCGGCCAACTCTTCCTTTTCCAAGTCCACTGCTTTTCCTCAGTTTGCTAAGTGCTTGGCTCCCCAGAATTCTGACTTGGCTTGGGGTCCACTATGGCCTCTGAATCATCTTCATTTCAGCAGAAACAGAGGACAAAGGTCCTTGAGGGGCCTTCTGTCCACTTTCTTAGTCACCTCAGGCCAGACCCTCTGCTATTCTGAGCCTCAGTTTCTCATCTGTCAAATGGGGATGAAGTCCAACCTGAGCCCCATGCCTCTTCTAGACTCAGCAGTGACCCCACAGGGCCTGAGGGGCTGCACGGAGATCTGGGAAGGGTGGCATGTGGGCCCAGCCCCCTTTCAGGGCCAGTGCTGAGTGTTATTTCCGCATTTCTGCTGCCTGGGGTGCGGCAAGAAGGAAGCATGAAGGTTGGCGGAGGGAGAGTGGATGGGCGGGGCAGGGAGTTGATGAATGAACCCAAGAAGCACAGCCACCTGGAATGGGCAGGAAGTAACTGTGGGAGGCGGCTCTGGAACTGCTTACCCGCCCTCAGCCTGCTCCCTGGACTCCATGCCTGGGATGGGGCTGGACCGACGAGCAGAAGTGTGGGTTCCAGAGACACGTTCCCAGTACCTATGTCTTTGTGTCTTCCATTACAGTAGAGGTTAGCCTTGGGGTACCTGGAGAAAGTTAGGGCTGACCTCCGAGCTCATAAGTGGATTTTTTTTTTTTTTTTTTGAGATGGAGTCCTTTTCTGTCACTCAGGCTGGAGTGCAGTGGCACAATCTCATCTCACTGCAACCTCCACCTCCTGGGTTCAAGCAGTTCTCCTGCCTCAGCCTCCTGAGTAGTTGGGATTACAGGCACGCGCCACCACGCCCAGCTGATTTTTGTATTTTTAGTAGATACGGGGTTTCACTGCATTGGCCAGGCTGGTCTTGAACTCTTGATCTCAGGTGATGCGCCTGCCTCAGCCTCCCAAAGTGCTGGGGTTACAGGCATGAGCGACTTCACCCAGCCATAAGTGGATTTTTTTTTTTTTTTGAGGCGAAATTTTGCTCTTGTTACCCAGACTGGAGTGCAATGGCACAATCTCGGCTCACCGCAACCTCCGCCTTCTGGGTTCAAGCAATTCTCCTGCCTCAGCCTCCTGAGTAGCTGGGACTACAGGTGCGCACCACCATGCCCAGCTAATTTTTGTATTTTTAGTAGAGATGGGGTTTCACCATGTTGACCAGGATGGTCTCTTGACCTCGTGATCCACCCGCCTCGGGCTCCCAAAGTGCTGGGATTATAGGCGTGAGCCACGGCGCCCGGCCATAAGTGGATGTTTAGGGCTGAGTGTCACTGTGCATTCACTATGTTTTTATTCTATTGTATTTTTGTTGTTGTTTTTTGAGACAGAGTCTCACTCTGTCGCCCAGGCTGAGTGCAATGGTGGGATCTCAGCTCACTGCAGCCTCCGCCTTCCAGGTTCGAGAGATTCTCTTGCCTCAGCCTCTGGAGTAGCTGGGACTACAGGTGCATGTCACCACACAATGCTAATTTTTTGTATTTTTAGTAGAGACGAAGTTTCACCATGTTGGCCAGGATCGTCTCAATCTCTTGACCTTATGATCTGCCTGCCTCAGCCTCCCAAAATGCTGGGATTACAGGCGTGAACCACCGTGCCTGGCCTCTACTGCATTTTTTTTAGAGACGGGGTCTTGCCCAGGCTGGAGTTCAGTGGTACAATCATGGTTCACCGCAGCCTCGAACTCCTGGGCTCAAGCGATCCTCCCGCCTCAGCCTCCTGTGTACCTGGGACTAGGCATGCACCATTATGCCTGGCTAATTTTTGTTTTATCTTTTTGTAGATACAGGGTCTCGTTATGTGGCCCAGGCTGAAGTGCAGTGGTGCGATCATGTCTCACTGCAGTCTTGAATTCCTGGGCTCAGGCAATCCTCCCGCCTCAGCCTCCCCAGTAGCTGGGAGCACCTGGCTTGTGGACACCCACTATGAACCTGAATGATGCACCGTCAGAGGCACCAGCTTCTCATGATTTCCACTGGACAGAAAAGGAAACTGAGTCCCAGAAGGTTTAAAGGAGTTGCCTAGCGCACTGCCTGGGGTGCAGTCACTGCCCGTATCTAGAGGGCTTGTAGAACCCTCAGCCGAGGGGCCGGAAGCGCCGATCTGCACTTGAACCTGGGCTGTGGGACTTCAGGCAAGGAGCATGTTTCAGGGGGAGCCTCAGTTTCTTCCCGAGCGCTCACATGGTGTCCGAAATCCTTCGGGTCTCCTTATAACCTGGGCATTTACTATCTGTGAGAATAAGAAAAGAGGCCTCCAGAGAGACGCCGGCGGCTTCATCATCTGCCCCCTGCACCTTTTCAAATGTTTTCCTTTTTTCTTTTTCCTTTCTTTAAAGAGGCAAAAACAAACAAAAAAAAACTGAACACATGGCTCATGCCTATAATCCCAGCATTCTGGGAGGCCGAGGCAGGCAGATCACCTGAGGTCAGGAGTTCGAGACCAGTCTGGCCAACATGGAGAAAGTAAAAACGCACGAATTAGCCGGGCGTGGTGGAGGGAGCCTGTAGTCCCAGCTCGTCAGGAGGCTGAGGCAGGAGAGTCCCTTGAACCCGGGAGGCGGAGGTTGCAATGAGCCGAGATCACGCCACTGTACTCCAGCCTGGGTGACAAGAGCAAGACTTGTCTCAAAAACAAAACAAAATAAAAACGAACAGGGGTCAGATGCAGTGGCTCACGCCTGTGATCCCAGCACTTTGAGAGGCTAAGGCGGGCGGATCATGAAGTCAGGAGTTCGAGATCAGCCTGGCCAACATGGTGAAACCCTGTCTCTACTAAAAACACACACAAAAAAATTAGCCAGGTGTAGGCTAGGCGCAGTAGCTCACACCTCTAATCCGAGTACTTTGGGAGGCCAAGGTGGGTGGATCGTGAAGTCAGGAGTTCGAGAGCAGCCTGACCAAAATGGTGAAACCCTGACTCTACTAACAATACAAATATTAGCTGGACGTGGTGGTGTGCACCTGCAATCCCAGCTACTCAGGAGGCTGAGGCAGGAGAATCGCTTGAACCCAGGAGGCGGAGGTTGCAGTGAGCTGAGATCGCGCCAATGCACTCCAGCCTGGGTGACAGAGCAACACTCTGTCTCTAAAAAAATTTAGCCAGGTGAGGTAGTGAGTGCCCACCGTCCCAGCTACTCAGGAGGCTGAAGCAGGAGAATCACTTGAACCCAGGAGGTGGAGGTTGCATGAGCCAAGATCACGCCACTGAACTCCAGCCTGGGAGACAGAGCAAAAACTGTCTTTAAAAAAAGGCAAGGCTGGACGCAGTGGCTCATACCTGTAATCCCAGCACTTTGGGAGGCCGAGGTGGGTGGATCACGAGGTCAAGAGATCGAGACCATCCTGGTCAACATGGTGAAACCCCGTCTCTACTAAAAATACAAAAAATTAGCTGGGCATGGTGACGTGTGCCTGTAGTCCCAGCTACTCGGGAGGCTGAGGCAGGAGAATTGCCTGAATCCAGGAGGCGGAGGTTGCGGTGAGCTGAGATTGCGCCATTGCACTCCAGCCTGGGTAAAGAGAGCGAAACTCCATCTCAAAAAATAAAAAAAAACAAAAAAAAAATGAACAGACATGGACTGGACGCTGATCTTTGCCACACCCTGAACTGGACACTGGGGACACAGTTGTTAACAAATGGGCAGAAATCCCGCCTTGCTAAGTGACACCCCAGTGTGAGAAACAGAAAATAACAGGTAAATGTATCCTATATTGGAGGGTGACAAGGACCAAGAAGAAAAATCAAGCCATCTTTTCCAAAGATGGAGAGAATAGAACTGTAGGTTTAAAAACTAAAGGAAGCCGGACTCAGTGGCACGCGCCTGTTCTCCCAGCTACTTGGGAAGCTGAGGCAGGAAGATCGTTTAACCCCAGGAGTTCAAATCCAGCCTGGGCAACAGAGTGAGGCCCTGTCTCTTAAAACTAACAAGGCCAGGTGGGATGGCTCATGCCTGTAACTCCAGCACTTTGAGAAGCTGAGGTGGGAGGATCACTTGAGCCCAGGAGTTCAAGACCAGCCTGGGCAGACATAGCCAGACCCTGTCTCTACAAAAAAGAAAAAAAATTAGCAGGTGTGGTGGTACACACCTGTAATTCCAGCTACTTGGGAGGCTAAGGCAGGAGAATCGCCTGAACCTGGGAGGTGGAGATCGGACCACTTTTCTCCAGCCTGGGTGACAGAACAAGACTGTGTCTCAAAAAAAAAAAAAAGAAAAAAAGAGAGAGAGAGAGAGAGAGAGAGAGAGAGAGGGTCTTGCTATGTTGCCCCGGCTGGTTTCTAATTCCTGGGTTTAAGTGATGCTCTCACCTTGACCTCCCACAGTGCTGGAATTACAGGCGTGAGCCACAGCGTCCAGCCTCCAGAGATGCTTTTCTTTCCAGGTGCTACAACCTTGGGGATGAGTCCGGAGACGCCAGCTACCACCTCTCTGATTTCTTCTCCCTCCATCCACAGCACCTTAAGTTCAGAGAAACCCCGCAACACCGACTCCAGCCCCCCGAGTTTGGACATAGTCTCCACGACCCACCTCAGCCCCTCAAGTCCAGGAGCAATCCCTACCACGCAGCCTAGCCCCAGCTCCACAGATTCAAGGATGACTCTCTCCTCCCCACAACCAGACACAATCACCCTCCCTAGTTCCGGCTCCCCCAGTGCAGAGCTCACCCCTTCTTCCCATTCCACCCTCCCCAGTTCCGAATCCCTGAACCCGCACTGGAGCCTCACTTCCCACAGCCCTGGAACAGACCCCTCCTCCATGCCCTTGACCTCCACTGACCAGACCTCAGAGGGTCCTGGCCCAGGTGAGTATTAAGAGATTTGGGGCTGGGCACGGTGGCTCTCGCCTGTAATCCCAGCACTTTGGGATGCCAAGGCAGGTGGATCACCTGAGGTCAGGAGTTCTGGACCAGCCTGGCCAACATGGAGAAACTCCGTCTCTACCAAAAATACAAAATTAGCCGGGCGTGGTGGCACTCGCCTGTAGTCCCAGCTACTCGGGAGGCTGAGGCAGGAGAATCGCTTGAACCCGGGAGGCGGAGGTTGCGGTGAGCCGAGATCGCGCCATTGCACTCCAGCCTGGGTAACAAGAGTGAAACTCCGTCTCAAACAAACAAACAAAAAACGAAAAAAACAGGAGAGAGATTTGGGTGTTTGTAGGGAGGGGTAGGTTGTACCAGGATGCAGTTTGGGAACTGACCACCAGGGGGAGGCACAGCCCCGACAATGCTCTGGGAAGGGTTTTCCCCGTCTGCTCCATTGTCTAAAGTCTTTCATGCTATGCGCATTTATTAAGTGCCTAGTGTATGTCAGGGCTGGACACAGTGGTGGACAAACAGAGAAACGAATACTTTCTGTGGTAAGGTGACAGGTTATACATTACGTATTTGAACCTGGGCAAAATTGCAAGACCTTGTCTCTACAAAAAAAATTTTCAAATGGCTGGGCGTGGCGGCTCACGCTGTAATCCCAGCACTTTGGAGGGCAAAGGCGGGCGGATCACCTGAGGTCCGGAGTTCAAGACCAGCCTGGCCAACATGGCAAAACCCCGTCTCTATTAAAAATACAAAAACTAGCTGGGTGTGGTGGCATACCCTTGTAGTCTCAGGTCCTGGGGAGGCTGAGGAGGGAGGATCACTAGATCGTGGGAGATGGAGGTTGCAGTGAGCTGAAATGGCGCCACTGCACTCCAGCCTGTGTGACAGAGCAAGACCATGTCCGGGGGCGGTGGCTCACGCCTGTAATCCCAGCACTTGGGAGGCTGAGGCAGGCAGATCATGAGGTCAGGAAATCGAGACCATCCTGTTTCTACTAAAAATACAAAAAAAATTAGCCGGGTGTGGTGGCACTCGCCTGCAGTCCCAGCTACTTGGGAAGCTGAGGCAGGAGAATCGCTTGAACCCAGGAGGTGGAGGTTGCAGTGAGCCGAGATCAAGCCACTGCATTCCAGCCTGGGCAACAGAGTGAGAATCCATCTCAAAAAAAAAAAATAAATAAAATAAAATAAATAGCATGACGGTGCATGCCTGTAATCCTAGGTACTCAGGAGGCTGAGGTGGGAGGATTGCTTGAGCCCAGGAGATTGAGGCTGCAATGAGCCATGATCGCACCATTGCACTCCAGCCTAGGTAATAGAGTGAGACCCTGTCTCTAAAATAGATGGTTAAAAGGTGGCAGCCTATGCCGGGTGCAGTGGCTCACACCTGTAATCCCAGCACTTTGGGAGGCCGAGGTGGGCAGATCACCTGAGGTTGGAGTTCAAGACTAGCTTGGCCGACATGGGGAAACCCCGTCTCTACTAAAAATACAAAATTAGCTGGGCGTGGTGGCGCATGCCTGTAATCCCAGCTATTCGGGAGGCTGAGGCAGGAGAAGCCCTTGAACCCAGGAGCTGGAGGTTGCAGTGAGCTGAGATGGTGCCACTGCACTCCAGCCTGGGCAACAAGAGTGATACTCCATCTCAAAAAAAAAAAAAAAAAAAATGTGGCATCTTCAATGGGAGAGGAAAGAGAGCCCAGCTTCCTGAGAACAGATTTAAAAGGCTCTGGGCCCTGGCGGGTGTCTTAGGCTTTGGGGGAATGGAGTACAGGGCTGACTCTGAGCCCCTTCTTTCAGCTCCAGGTGACACTGGGCCCCCTGAGTTACACAGAGACCCAGGTGTGGTAGTGATCGTGTGTTTGCTGGTGTCTCTTTTGGTCATCGGGTCTGTGGTCATGGCTGTGAGGTTCTGCCACCGGGATGAGTCCAAGTTTGGGAGGCTGGACGAGGTGTCCATGGTAAGGTAGGGGCTGGGCTGGGGGCTCAGCCCTGGGGCCAAGGCTAAGTGGGGAGGGCGGAGGGTTGGGGGAGCTGCCCTCCCAAGCAGGGCCAGCCTGGGCTGCAGAACGTGCTGGTGTCTGAATGCCTCCCTGTGTGCTCCTTCCCCAGGGGTCCATGAACGACAGATCGGCCTTTGCCCACCACCTCCAGGAGTGAGCCCCGAGGAGCCAACAGAGATGGGGGCGTGGGTGGGGCTGGGGTGCTGGGGAGGAGCAGAACCCGAGGAAATAAAGCCCCAGACTGGGCATGGTGGCTCACGCCTGTAATCCCAGCACTTTGGGAGGCCAAGGCGGGCAGATCACGAGTTCGGGAGTTCGAGACCAGCCTGACCAACATGGTGAAACCCTGTCTCTACTAAAATTATGAAAAGTAGCCGGGCATGGTGGCACGTGCCTATAATCCCAGCTACTCAGGAGGCTGAGGCAGAAGAATAGCTTGAACCTGGGAGGTGGAGTTTGCAGTGAGCTGAGATTCTGTCTCAAAAAAATAAAAAATTAGTAATAAATAAAGCCCCTACCATTCATCCGAGGCCTCCTGAGTCATGGATTCATGTGATAAACATTAACTCAGCACCTACTATGTGCTAGGGTCATAGTGGGGCCATGTCTTTACTGTCGGGATCCACAGGCTCAAGGTGGGGACACATAAGAATCAGGAGATTGGCCGGGTGCGGTGGCTCATGCCTATAATCCCAGCACTTTGGGAGGCCGAGGCGGGTGGATCATGAGGTCAAGAGATCGAGATCATCCTGGCCAACATGGTGAAACCCCGTCTCTACTAAAAATACGAAAAAATTAGCTGGGTGGTGCATGCCTGTAGTCCCAGACACTTTGGAGGCTGAGGCAGGAGAATTGCCTGAACCTGGGAGGCAGAGGTTGCAGTGAGCCGAGGTCGCACCACTGCACTCCAGCCTGGCCCCTGGTGACAGAGTGAGAATCTGCCTCAAAAAGAAAAGAAAAGAAAAAAAAAAAAGAATCAGGAGATCACTTGGCCGGGCATGGTGGCTCACGCCTGTAATCCCAGCAATTTGGGAGGCCGAGTCAGGCAGATCACCTGAGGTAAGAAGTTCAAGACCAGCCTGGCCAACGTGGAGAAACCCCATCTCTATTAAAAATACAAAAATTAGCTGAGTGTGGTGGCGGGCACCTGTAATCCCAGCTACTCGGGAAGCTGAGGCAGAGAATCACTTGAACCTGGGAGGCGGAGGTTGCAGTGAGCTGAGATGGCACCACTGCACTCCAGCCTGGAAACAGAGTGAGACTCCATCTCAAAAAAAAAAAAAAAAAAAGAATCCGGGCGCAGTGGCTCACGCCTGTAATCCCAGCACTTTGGGAGGCCGAGGTGGGTGGATCACGAGGTCAAGAGATCGAGACCATCCTGGTCAACATGGTGAAACCCCGTCTCTACTAAAAATACAAAAAATTAGCTGGGCACGGTGGCGTGTGCCTGTAATCCCAGCTACTCAGGAGGCTGAGGCAGGAGAATTGCCTGAACCCAGGAGGCAGAGGTTGCGGTGAGCCGAGATCGCGCCATTGCACTCCAGCCTGGGTAACAAGAGTGAAACTCCGTCTCAAAAAAAAAAAAAGAAAGAAAGAATCAGGAGATCATGTGAGATCTTTGCTGGTGGCACAGAGGACCATGGAGTCACAGATTGAGACTGTGGCCATACCACAGGGCTGTGCTGTCCAGGTTTGGTGAGAAGGTAGGGAGGCCTCTCTGAGGAGGTGACTTTTTTGTTTTAAAGGATCTTCTTCTGTTGCCCACGCTGGAGTGCAATGGTGCAATCTGGGCTCACTGCAGCCTCAACGTCCCAGGCTCCAGTGATCCTCCTGCTTCAGCCTCCCGAGTGGCTCTAACTACAGGGGCATGACAGGAGGCCTGGCTAAGCTAAAACCTTTGGGGCGCGGGATGTGCGGCTTCCAGCTGTGATTTCAGCACTCTGGGAAGCTGAGGCCGGCAGATTGCTTGAGCTCAGGAGTTCGGGAGCAGATTGGGCAACATACCAAAACCCTATCACCCTCTTTTTTTTCTTTTTTGAGACAGTCTCGGTCTGTCCCCCAGGCTGGAGGGCAGTGGCACAATCTCAGCTCACTGCAACCTCCGTCTCCCAGGTTCAAGTGATTCTCCTGCCTCAGCCTCCCGAGTAGCTGGGATTACAGGAGCCCACCACCACGCCTAGCTAATTTTCTGTATTTTCAGTAGAGACGGGGTTTCACCATATTGGCCAGGCTAGTTTCAAACTCCTGACATCAGGTGATCCACCCACCTCAGCCTCCCAAAGTGCTGGGATTACAGGTGTGAGCTACCGCGCCGGGCCCTTTTTTCTTTTTTTGAGACAGTCTTGCTCTGTCACCCAGGCTGGAGTGCAGTGGCACAATCTCAGCTCACTGCAACCTCCACCTCCTGGGTTCAAGCAATTCTCCTGCCTCAGCCTCTGGAGTACCTGGGCTTGCAGGCGTGCGCCACCACATCCGGCTAATATTTTGTATTTTAGTAGAGACGGGGTTTCACCATGTTAGCCAGGATGGTCTCCATCTCCTGACCTCGTGATCCACCTACCTCGGCCTTCCAAAGTGCTGGGATTACAGGCATGAGTCACCGCGCCTGGCCCAGACTTTTTTATCAGAAGGAGGACATGTGCCTTGTCGTGGGAGGTGTCCCCAAGTTGTCTCCCTGACTCCAGTCTGGAGCTGCCCCCTCAGGGCTGGCTGTGAAATGGACATTCGAGAGGCCGCAGGGTCAAGGTCACCTGGCACAGGGGGGCAAATGCTGGATTGAGGCTGGGTCACGCTTTGATGATCTTTGGAGGGAGATGCTGGTGGGGCCTCCTAGGTAGCCGGTGATGCTGGTGAAATATTAACTCACAGCAGCCCTGGAGGCCAACAGCCCCACACATCAGCCCGCTTCCCCTGGCCATAGCCCCTCCCACCTCCCACCCTACCCCTTCACCCTCCTGGGGGCCCCAATTCCGGCCTAATCTGCAGCTCCAACAGTTTGTGGCTGGAGGCTCAACCAGAGAGGGTCTTTGATCTGCCTGGGGTAACACAGCGCAGCAGGTACCTTTCCTGGAGCCCCCATCAGCCCTCCAAACACAATCCCCTAGCTCCCTAGGCCACACCCCATGGGCTCTGCTTGGAAGCACAAATCCCAGACCCTGAGTTGATAAAATCCTCCATTCCCAGAGCTGCTGGTCTCTACCACAGTCTTCCTTCAAGTGCTCGCTCTCTCTCGTGTGCAAACACATCAACGATTAACACCTTCTCACCCAGCCCCCTCTCCCCTCTGCCTCCCTTCCTGTCTTTCCCCTCCTTCCTCTGCCTTCCCCCGCCCCTCCCCCTCCACACCCAGTCACCCTCTTGGCCTCTTGCTCCGGCACCCTCAGGCCCTCTTAGTCACTCTGCCCTCCACCCATTGGGTGCCTCACCAAGGGAAAGTGTGTGGGTTGTGTCCTGGCCTGATGCCCAGATAATTAAGGGGCTCTGCTGAGTGGGTGCTGGGGGAGCTCTGGGCCTCCCTCATGGCCAGGTCAGGTTCTCCCCTCCCACCTTGCTCCCCAGGGGGTCATGGGACCCAGGCAGGACTCAGCCTCGGTGATGAGTCCAGATCTGCCGGCCTCCTGGAGCAAGCTTATGTGAGTTTCACGGGGTCTTAGGAGAGAGGCTGGGGTCTCGTAATCCCCCTGAGACCATCAGAGCAGCTCTGGGAGCTGAATGGATCTCCCCTGTGGCTGGGGCCGGGGGGCCTCATTTCACCAGTCCTGATACTCCCACCCGCCTTGCTGAACCTGGACGAGTGTGGCAGGGACTTTGGACACCCGGCCACTGTCCCTGAATGGGGAGCTCTGCAAAGTCCTGGTGGGTGTCTCACGCTGGTGCCTGCGGTGTGGTCCATGCCACCCTGATTTAATGTCCTTGGGGTCCAAGGGAGGGTGCAGAGAGTGTGGGAGCGAGTTCCTGTCTGGGGGTTCCCACAGGGCTGGACCCGCGCTCGCTCCCAGAGGCTGCAGGCCTCACAAGCATCTCCTCAGGTCCAGAGACGCCTGCAGCATGAGACGCAGCGCGACAGCCCTTTCCTTCCGGCTGAGCGAGGTGAGTGGGCATGAGGATGGCCCAGGCCATGGGGGAGGAGATCCCCCCGGAGACCCCCTACTCAGAAACACCCAGAGCTGGCCTGGTGGCTCACACCTGCTATCCCAGCACTTTGGCAGGCCGAGGCAGGCGGATCACTTGAGGTCAGGAGTTCGAGACCAGCTTGACCAACACGGTGAAACCCCGTCTCTACTAGACATACAAAAAAGTTAGCCAGGCATGGTGGCGCAGGCCTGTAATCCCAGCTACTGGGAAGCTGGGGCAGGAGAATCGCTTGAACCTGGGAAGCAGAGGTTGCAGTGAGCTCAGATTGCGCCGCTGAACTCTGGGCAGCAGAGCAAGACTTTGTCTCAAAAAAAAAAAAAAAAAAAGAAAAGAAAGAAAAAGAAACACCTAGAACTGCTTGGGGACCATGTCACACAGGGCCACTGAGGCCCAGAGAGGCCACCAGAGAGCTGGGGACCTGATCCAAGCATCCCCCCCGGGCTGTGGCCACTGCTTTTGGGAGCAGGAGACCCCTTGTGCCTGGACACAAGGTTTTGACTCACTCAAGGATAGGAGACCTGGCTGCCTCTAGGCCACGGCAGGGGGCCATGAGGGAGGCCACAACTTCAGAGCACGGCTGGTGCCCTTATTCTGGGAAACTGAGGCAAGAGGAGAGCCCTGCAGGGGCTGGATTCAGATCCCAGGCCCTTCACCTGAGTGGCTGGTAACCTCTCTAGGACTCAGTGTTCGTGTGTGTGTGTGTTTTTAAATTTTTGACGCAGAGTTTCACTCTTGTTGCCCAGGCTGGCGTGCAATGGCACAATCTCAGCTCACTGCAACCTCCGCCTCCCAGGTTCAAGCAATTCTCCTGCCTCAGCCTCCCAAGTAGCTGGGATTACAGATGCAAGCCTCCAAACCCAGCTGATTTTTGTATTTTTAGTGGAGACGGGGTTTCTCCATGTTGGACAGGCTGGTCTTGAACTCCTGACCTTAAGTGATCCACCTGCCTTGGCCTCCCAAAGTACCGGGATTATAGGTGTGAGCCACCACACCTGGCCTAGAACTCAGTGTTTTTGTGTGAAAAAAAAAAAAAAACTGGGCTAGGCCGGGTGCAGTGGCTCATGCCTCTAATCCCAGCACTTTGGGAGGCCGAGGCAGGTGGATCACGAGGTCAAGAGATCGAGACCATCCTGGTCAACATGGTGAAACACTGTCTCTACTAAAAATACAAAAATTAGCTGGGCATGGTGGTACGCGCCTGTAGTCCCAGCTACTCGGGAGGCTGAGGCAGGAGAATTGCTTGAACCCAGAAGGTGGAGGTTGCGGTGAGCTGAGATCGTGCCATTGCACTCCAGTCTGGGTAACAAGAGCCAAACTCCGTCTCAAAAAAAAAAAAAAAAAAAACTGGGCTAAAATTTTGTGGAATAGGGGTTCTCAGGGTGGGCCTTGG